AAAAAAAAAAAAAAAAAATAGTTGTTGACAGATATTTTAAAGATATTATTAGGTTAATTAAATACAATCAAATACTGTTAAACATGTGGGTAATAAATAAATAAATAAACATGAATTTAGATAATTGTATAAATGATTATTTATTTTAAAACAAATATAAAAAGTGTTTTTTTAATTATTGTTATATTTGATTTTAATTTTTGGTGTTTTTCACTATCGGGTAATTAAATTAAATTTTTAATTCTGTTTTAATACATAAGTATTAAGTTGATATTAGATTTCTCATAATTTGAAGACTAGAGTTTTTGTGAGAGTTAAAATGGTTCCAATGATTCAAGTGATGAAAAAGAAGATACAATTCTTGTCGTTTATTGAAACCTTCAGTCTTTTTTATTATGCTGTGATATGAATCGAAAAAGGTTTTATCGAATCCTCCAAACATGACAGCGATTGCCAAATCGTATTCGTGATGACCATAGAATGAAGCAGGATCAAAGATTACAGGTTCCGATTCTGTTTCTCCTACATTTCCACACCATAAATCACCATGTAATAATGATGGCTCAATTTCAATATTCTTAAAAAATAATGGAATTTTCAATTGTAATTGCGACCATAATTCATTGATTTCTCTGCTTCCTTTTTTTCTTAAAATAAGATTGATTTGATGATTGAGTTTTTGTGTAGCATAAAAACTAACCCAATCACTTGACCATTCATTATTTTGAAGTATATATCCACAAGCTGTTGGAATGTGAAATCCAAATTTTTCAATTGCTTCATATTGAGAACCGACTAAGTTTTCAGATTTTTCTTTTTTTTTTAAAGCTTTTATATTATGTAAATGCAACTCAGCTAATGATTTACCTAATTGCGAAGAGTATTTGTTAAGGCCGTTAAAATTCAAATAATCCATAGCTATAAAACTTTTATTTTGAATTTTACCAACCAGAATGGGTTTAGGAACTGATATTATCTTAGTTTCAAAAATCTTATTAAGGGATTCATATTCTCCCTGAAACATGACATCCGCTTCTGACCCTGTATTAACTTTAACAAATATTTTTCCTTTATCTGTTTCATAAACTTTTCCGGCACTAATACACCCGGATTGAGTTTCAACACTTTTTAATACTTTTAAATCGAGTTGTTCTTTTAAAAAAGCTTCCATTTTAGTTTTGGAGCCTAAATTGGTAATGCCGTCTTGATTCAAAAATTTTATAAATTATTGTTTAAATTAAATATTTTCGTAAAAATTTAACAGGAAAGTGATAATTTTAAGTAATAATTTATAAAAATACGCTTTTGCCACATAATTATTTATAAAATAAAAAATTTATTAATTACATCGCATCATTTGACGTGAAAGTAGTTAAAAAAAAAAAAAACTTAACTTAGGAGGCTTTGAAAGACCCGTTAAAAAATTCTGGGAGTTTTCACCTTGATATGCTTAAGAAATGCAACCGATCAAAAGTCGCTTTAATTCCTCTTATTTTACTTATCAATTAAATCGGGTTTTATATAAATTATTTATTTTATTTAAAAAAATGAATTTTATGCTTTATTGTGATAAATATACCACGGGACTTAACAGGCAGATAGCGGGCCTTTGATTTATGACGTGATCATTATATCAGCAGTCCTTTTTGCTAATAGTGTGCTGCCATCTTTAAATATCAATCAAATTCACATCGCAGGAACAATTATTTAATTTTGTTTTCGCCCCATTTTGTTTTATTTAACCCAAAATGAGGTAAGTTTATTTGGTAACAAAAATAAATAAGACTTTTTTAAAGTCATTTCCACCAAAATATCAATTTATTTATTTAGAAATGTATAATATGCATTTATATATATATTTAGTTGTACTCATAATTTTTAATCTCCCTTATTATAGAGTAAAGAAAAAAAAAAAAAAAAAAAAAAGGTCACGTGAAAGTCGATTAAACATATGAGTAATGAAAAAAAAAAAATGAAATTCTAGAATTTTTAAATTAATTTTAAGAAAACTACATATCACGTAAGCTAAAAATCGTTGTTTTTTTTCTTTTCAATTTTTTTTTCTTTTTCTTTATAAAATTTAATTATTTTTAAAATTGGCAACGTTGTAAATTTTTAACCAATCAAATGAAAGAGGGGAATAGTAAAAATATTTCCCTACTTCCATAGAATCTGTAAAAATGTTCAACTTCCCTGACGCGTCATTCGTGTAAGAAACGTTGTTTGTAGAAAATGGTCGTTGTTGTATGTCATTGTTTTGCCTAAAATATGTTGTAAAGAAAAAAAAAAAAAAAAAAAAAAAAAATTTCAAAACAAATTTATGAAAGATGTATTTATGTAGGAAAAGATAATTATCATAATTATTATTTTACAAGCTATCATCGATAGAAAAAAAAAATTTTTTTTTTTTTTTGTAATCATGGAAGAGGACGAACGCTGTTAAAAATCATCGAAAATTGTCAAAAGAACGCAAAAAAGAAAAAAGAAAAGACAAAAACTAAAAAAACTTAAAAGCGAAATTTTTAAGAAAAAAACGATTCGATTCGACGACCTTATATGCATAAAGATTATTTTTTTGTAATTGGGCTTTTAGTGTTTCTTTTTTTTTTTTTTTTTTAAATAATTGATTTGATTTTTTTTTTTTTTAAATATTTTTTTAAAGAAAGAAAAAATAATTCATATATATATATATATATATATATAATTCAATCAAGCTGGAATCTGTAGGCCTGAATTGTTGCAGACAATCCCTCATAAATAATTTCATTCGATCGGGAACGGCTTTTGATTTTAGTGGAAATTCATCAGAAATGTTTGGCTCAAAAACAGAAAGGTTTGCAATTTGAAAAAACAAATCCGCATTTTTTTTTTTTTTTTTTACTATTTTTTCTATTTTTTAATTTAATTTTATTATTATTATTACTGTTATTATTATTAATTAACGCGGTTGATAGACTTTTTTAATATAAATCGGATTATCGGTATAACTCGGGAGAGAGAGAGAGAGAAACCATCGCGTTTTCTAAGATCATGAGTTCGTGAATATTAAAACCAAAAATTATTTTATTTTATTAAATTTATTATTATTATTATTATTATTATTTTTCAAAATTCAATTTACTGTTTTGTTTTTTTTTTTTAGTTCGGGATAAAGGGAAAACGTCGTCGTCGTAAGATTATATATATTCGGTTAGTTATATATCTATAAATATCATGTCGTCCACCATTTTGAATTTTAATGACTAACGAATCGCCATCTTTGTTTTAATAATCAAGTTCTTTTGTTTTTTATTTAAAATATTTCTTTTTTTAGATGAAACGAAAAATAATAATGAATCGAATTCATTTGTTTTATGTACATAGATATATACATATATTAATAAGTTTAAATGTATTTTTTATCGTTAATCCAACGATATATTGAAATAGACAATGATGGCAAAATGATGGATTCAGGGTCGTTTTATATTATGTGCTATAGGATTTTGACCCTTACGTCTTTTTTTTTTTTTTTAAATTTACATTCGATATTATTTATTATTATTATTATTATTATTATTACATTTTAAATAATTTATTTATTTATTTCAAGTTAAAAATAACGTTCACGAATTTATGATTTTAATTAAATAATTTCGTAAATTTCTAGAATCTTTATCAATCGAAACGTAATTTAAAATTATCAAACCTCTCGTGTTAATTTAGGAAGGAAAATATCAGAAGGGGAGATAGTTATGGGGGTGGGAGGGAGGAAGGGAGGGAGGGTAAGCATTATTATTATCTTTGACAATAATTCGAATCGAGTTGGAAATATATATATATGTATAATAAGAAAATGACAAATTTATGACGATGATGATGATGATGATGATGATGATGAAAGCAAGCAATTTTCGATGAGAAAAAAACGAACCAAATAATTTTTTTTTTTTTTTTTTTTTTGTTATTTTTAATACGAATCACGCGTAATATAAATTAGGTAATCGAAAAGGTTTTTTTTTTTTTTTTTTTATAAATTATTTTATAATAATTAATTAATTAATTTTATTTTAATTTTAATTTAATTTTAATTTTTGTTGTTGTTGTCGCGTGAACGATGTGAATTTCGTTCGAGTTTCATAAAAGTGATGACCTTGAGTGAAAACGTTTGAGGTAGGCATCGTCATCATCATCATCATCATCATTGTTGTTCGGTACCCGAATCGATGTTTCCGAACATTGATTACGGAGCACACCAGAACTGGTTTTTTTTTTTTTTTTTTTAAACGAAGATTTGCGACGTTGCATGTTTTATGTTGCAGTTGTGGGTCGTCTGTGCGTGTGTATGGAAATCGATATTTCCGGGTAGAACCGAACCGACTCCTGCCCTCATTATTTATCATCATCATCATTATTATTATTATTAATATTCTGTGATTTTCTTATGTGGGTTGCGGTACTTTTTTTTATTTTCTTTTTTTTGCTTTTTTTTTCATTATTAAAAAAATTAATGATGATGATGATGATGATGTTAATAATAATTAATAATTTTATTTATTTTTTAAAAATGGCGTGAGGGGAGGGAGCGGAATAAAACAAAAAAAATAATTTTTATTTGTTGTTATCCGGAGAAAAAACGATGATTTCCATCGGGATTAGGTTAGTGACGATAGGTCGTGGGAAGTTCCCTCCTCCCCCCCCCAAAAAAAAAAAAATTGTTAATTTTTCGAAAAGGTCGTAATTGTTATAATTAATTAATTTTCTTCTTCTTCTTTCTCTTCGCCTTATTTATTTATTTACTTATTTATTTATTGGTTTATGTATGTATTATTATTATTATTAATATGCTTGTGGCATAAGGCTTCATAAAAACGCTAAATAACATTTTCAATGTATATACAAGGTGGAAAAATTATGATCACGTGTCTATGGTAAAAAGTTTTTCCTTTTTTTCTTTCTTCTTATTTTTATTTTTAATATTATTATTATTATTATTATTATTATTATTATTATTATTATTATTATTATTATTATTATTGAATTAAGATTGATTTATGTATTTAATGTAAAGAAAAAAGGAAAGAAAGAAAAGGAAAAACTTTTTATTTTGTGCTTTTTACAGAGTAATGACAGGGTTGGACAGGGTTGTAAATACGATTAGCAAAAGTTTTTTGATCATGTAAGAACAATAACAACAAACAAACAAACAAACAAACGACACAAACATTTAATTTTTTTTAAATAATAATAATTTAAAGATTAGTTTTAGTTTTAGTTTTAGTTTTCGAGTCCAAACGTAGAAACAATCGTTTTAAAAACTCAAGAGTACGTTGACCCCTGTAATTATATTTTTCTTTCATTGACACACTTGCAGGCTCTGCGTTTAGTTAAAATATAAAATGAAAAAAAAAAAAAATTTTTTTTCCTTTGGTTTATTATTATTATTATTATTATTATTATTATTATTATTATTATTATTATTATTTCTTTCACTTTCTAATTGATTTTTGATTCGTTGTTTAGTGAAAAAAAATTTTTTTGTCAATCATTTCTGCATGATACTTTCATACACGAATTTTCATCTACCCTTGTTTTTGTTTGTGTGTAAGGGTGTGTGTGTGTGTGTGCTTGTCCCAATCATCACCATCATCATCATCATCATCATCTGTAACGAAATAACAAATTTTCCTTTTTCTTTTTCGCATTTAAGGAAAGAGTTAGAGAGAGAGAAAATTTGGGGGAAAAAAACGACTTCATTCATTTAAATAAAAGACGCGTTTAAAAAAAATTTTTTTTTATTTTTATGTGTCACGAATCATGCGCGTTTTTTTTTTTTTTTTTTTATAAATTTTCTTATTGCGTGATGTGAGTCAAAAAATCATAAAACGTCATCATCATTTCCATTTAAAAAAAAATTTGCCTTATCTGGGATAATAATAAGGTCATAGTCAGAGTCAGAGTTTTAGGGAAAAACTTTTTAAAAAAAATTTTTTAATTTTAATTAAAATATTTTTTCAATTGATTTTTCTTCCTATTTTTCTTCTTCTTTACTCCAGGTGTCAAAAAAACGCGGAATAATAATAATAATAATAATATTTCAAGAATTCTTTTTTTTTTTTTGTAATTGCTGGAAGCAAATGTATAATTTTTTTGTTTTGCTCAAAGCTTCCCAATTTCAATTTCGGTATGAATATTATTATTATTATTATTATTATGATTTGAGGATTTTGTTAAGAAAAAAGAAGAATTGAAAAATTTAATAATAATAATGATGATAATAATAATAATAATAATAATAATAATAATAATATTTAAAAGCGGTTTATTGAACGATCAAATGTGTCAAGGTAAAAATTTTTAAATAACTTTATTTATATATATATATATATATATTTTTTGATTTTTTTGGGCGAATTCCCATCATCCGTCATTAAATTTAATTTAAAAATAAATTTTTAGGTTTATCATTATTATTATTATTAATATTATTAATATTATTAATATTATTATTATTATTATTATTATTATTATTATTATTATTATTATTATTATTATTATTGTTACAAATCTCTAGTAGTTTCGGCGTAGAAAATTTCGAAAATTTTTTTGAACCTGTGCATAATGGATAATAATTCATAGGTTAAACCTTAAGAATGCTCCCTTTTTTTTTTTTTTTGTTTGTTTGGTAAAGGTTTTAAGGGGATACCTGTGAATGTAAAACCTTTTGTTGTTATTATTATTATTATTATTATTATTATTATTATTTGAAAAATGTGATTAAAATAGGATTTTGTGTCGGTTTTGTGTGTCTGTGTGTGTGTGTCAAGTTCACTGTACATTAGATTTCGAACTTTAATAGTTCTATAAAAAAAAATTTAAAATTTTCCGGGGTTTCATCGAAAACAAAAACAAAAACAAAAGCAGAACACAAAACATGAAAAAAAAAAAAAAAAAAAAAAAAAAAAAAATTTTTTTTGCATCACAACACGAATAATAAACGAAAAATAATTTTTAATAATTTAAATAATAACAATAATAATAATTAATAATTTTCGAGAGGGAAAGAAAGAAAAAAAGAAAAAAAATAATAATAATACTTAAACATTTTTATTATTTAACTATATATGTATATAATATTTTTTTGTAACAACATTGTAAAGACTTTAAAAAATTAATAATAAAATAATAATAATAATAATAATAATAATATTTAGGCATAAACACACACTATGTATATATATAGTATTTATTTACATTGATTAGTTAGTTACAAAAATAATAATACTACTAATAATAATAATAATAAATGATAATAATTTAAAAATAATAATAATAATGAAATAATAATAATAATAATAAAACCGTTTATGAAGATGTGGTAGAAAAATAATAAAAAAAAAGCATCGAATTATGATGGATTGTGTGGAGATTCTGCCCCAATTTTATTTGTTTGATTTATCTCCGTACGAACGACGGAAAAACAGTAAAATTAAAAAAAAAAAACGTCTTGTTAATAATAATTGGTAATTTGTTGTTAATTTTCCAAAAAAAATGGGATCACAATCGGGGGCCTTTTCTCTCTATCTCTCTCTCTCTCTCTCTCTTTATTCACTTTGTTGTTATTATTGTGAGATGTGTTGGATAGTTGGTCGGTATTTGCAATGTCTTTGCATGATTTGGAAAAGGTTTCAGGTTCTTCACATCACGTATGATGTTTGTCTAGTTAGGTTCATGAGGAATCGGGAAGGAGGATGTTGGGGCGAAAACTGAAATAATAAAATTATTATTATTATCGATCAATAGTATATTAATTATGAAATTCGCGTGACGTAATTGTTTTTTTTTTTTTTTTTTTTTTTTTAAAGAAATAAAAATAGAAATAATGATGTAAACGAATCGAAACAAATTTTTATTTGTCGTTTGTGTTAGTTAATGTGAAAAAATTTTTATGAAACGTATTTTTCGATTTCCCACCTCCCCCCTCCACCCCCCACAAGAAATCGGTAATCGTTAGAGATTGATTGATTTTACTAATAAAATTATTGTTTTTTGTGTTCGATAGTTCGCAAGAGGATGAAGATTTAGAAGATGGAGAAATAGCTTCGGACGAAGAAGAACAACCGACGACGACGACGACGACAAGCGGCGGCGTCGTGAAAAAAGAAGATGGAAACGTCGAGAAAAAACCGGATGTCGTTTCGCCGGAAAAACAAATTTCCAAGAGCATCGGTCAAACGTCGCATCAGAGCGGAGAAGATAACGATTTCGAAAAGGATTTGCAAAAGTTGAAAGAGGATGTCGAGAGGAAGAAAATAAGGAAAGACGCGAGGAAACGTCGGGAAAATGAAAGGGCGAATTGCAAGAGGAGAAAGCAAAGGTCTTCGGACGAGGGTAAAAGCAATAGGAAGGAAAAGAAGAGAAAAGGAGAGGGAGGGAGCGGTGGTAAGGGAGATGATAAAACGGAAGACGAAGAGGTCGACGACGACGAAATGCTAGGACTGTGCATAAGGGGAGCGAGTCCGATAAATTTGGACGAGATTGAAGTTTGGTCGGGTAAACAACCCATACTCGATCCGAATTGGCATTTAAATGAGAATTCCGACAACGATTCGGATTTCGACGATAGGGATGATAGGAAAAGGAGGAGGAGGGAAAAGGATAGGAGGGGTTTCAATAAGGGAATATCGAGGGAAGATAGGGAAATTAAAAAAAGGTTACAAATGAAAAGGAAAGGGAAGAGTAGAAAAGCGACGGATAATTCAGACATGATATGCATTAATTTCATGAAAGGAAATTGCAACAAAGTAAGTTGTACGCCATTTTTTTTTTTTCCTCTCTCTCTTTCTCTCTTTATAGGTGTGGTTCTTGAATAAAAAAAACCTTGGCATCTAGGGCAAATGAAAGTTATTTTATAAATACCAAACGTTTTAATAATTGTTAAAACCACGCGCACACGCACACGCACACACACACAAGGAGAAAAAAATGGAAAGTTGTGAGAGATTTATCGAAATTATTATTTTATTTTTTTTTCGCGTTTTTTCGCGTTTTTGAATGAGTGAACATGTTGTTGCCTACGCATTCTATGCAAAGTACAGGCATCAGCAAATTTATAATCCAAAATTATCCTTCCGCAGCAACGCGCACACGCATACATTAAAATGTAAAAGAACCAGTTAAGTGAGACGTTAACCTAATGAAATAATTAAAGAAAAGGAAAAGAAGAAAAACTCTTTCGAGTTGAAATATTTTACTCTATTAATATTAATTGTTCTTTATTAAAATAACCCCATGTTAATTAAAACTTGAAATTCTAGAAGATTCTAACGAGAATGTAATAGAAAAAGAAGAAAAAAAAAGGGGGGGGGGATAAATCTCTTGACAATGAAGAAGAAGAAGAAGTAAAAAAAAAAAAAAAAAAATCTTTTCTTTCTTTCTATCAATTTTCTTTTTTGTTATTATTTTCAATTGGTTTTAAGGTTCACTTACCTGTACCTGTCAATTGTTTTAATTTTTTCAATTTTTTGTTTTAGGGAAGCGAATGTTTTTATTCTCACGCGGTTTGTCCGCCGAAAAAAATGGAATTGTGTAAATTTTACCTAATGGACTGCTGTGCCAAACGTGACAAATGTTTATACCTTCACGAGGAATTTCCCTGCAAGTTTTTCCACACAGGTCTCAAATGTTATTCTGGAAAAAAATGTAAATTTAGCCACGATCCACTAAATAGTCTTTCCAAAGATATATTACTTAAGGTGAGAATCGAGAAAGCTTTTACTTTCTTGAGATCTTTCTTGAATCGTTGATCAATAAAGCAAAAGCTTTCACCAAAAGCAAAAGTTTTAAGCAAAAGCTTTAACCGAAGCAAAAGCAAAAGAAAAGAAAGAAAGAAAAAATGACCAAAAAAAAATTTACAGCAAAAAGAAAAAAAAAAAGTTTTTCTTTTGTGTGTGTGCATGTTAACACAAATGTGTGAGCATCATTTTGTTATGTGTTTTATAATAACAATTTTTTAGATGTCAAATAATTACGTGTTAGACGTCTTTTTATTATTATTATTATTATTATTTTGGTTTTAATCACTTGCTAAAAAAGTTTTTGATTTTGCTATAATGATAATAATAATAATAATATAAATTTTAATGCTGCTGTTTCACTCCCCCGCCCCCATTTGTCGTGACTACACATTACTTGAAAAGCAAATTGAATTTGTCGTCGTCGAATAATGTTTTGCATGATGAGTAGTGTGGCTTTATATATATATTTAAAAAGAAGACAAATAATAATAATAATAATAATTTTGCAAATTGTGAATCAGGCATGAATATTATTAATTAATTAATTAATTGTTTTTTTTTATTAGATAATCAATGAGTAATTATTTTATTTTTTTTTTTTTATGTAATTTTTTTTTGGCATTTTTTTTTTTTTTTTGTATTAAAAAAAAACCGTTTTCACGGTCGGTGTCAATTAAAAAAAAAATAATGATAATGTTGTTGTTTTGTTTTGTTTTGACACCGACGTGTTGTTATATATACGTCTAATTTGTAAGGTAAGGAAGGGTACCTGCAAGTAACAAAATAGTCTTTTTCTTCGCAGCATTTAGAAACTGCACCCAAGGAAATCTTGGGTGACTTTCCAAGGTTGAGTCGGGATTGTGCGGAAACGATGGTGAACAATAAGACGACGGGGAAACCCACGGACACGTCGAAAATCCCGAGTTTGTTCGATATTCAAGTGTCCATTCCTCTTGAATTTCAAAATGCTGGTATGTGTGTTGTTGTTGTTTCGAATGAAATGGAAATCATTTTCAAAAATGGTTACAATTCATTTTTCGAATGAAAGTGAAATATTTTACCCTAATTTTGCCTTTTTAGGTGATAAAATCGAAGAACGCACTACGCCTCCATGTTCGCCTCCGCCAAATTTAAAATCATCTCCCAAAACGAAATCCAAAGAGGTTTTAAAATTCTACGAAGAAGCCCAAGAAACAAATGAGAGCGAAAGGGAACGTAAAACGGGGAGCCCCATAGATTTTGCAAAAGAGTTGGAAGCGTATAAAAATAAACAAATGCAAAATAAAGGAACCGACGAGTCGTCGTCCGTGAAAAAATCCGAACGGGATGAACGGGAAGGAAATGAGAAAAATCAAAATCACGAAAGTTCATCATCGTCATCATCATCATCACATCATCATCCGGGAGGAGGAGGAACGACAAATCAAAGCAATATCACTAAAGATTCTACCAAAAGCGATCACGAAGAACACAAAAGGCGAAAAAAATGGGATTCAACTGACGGGGAATCGGACGAAAAAGAATCGAAAAGAAAAAAGAGAAAACACGACGATCGAAAAGATAGAAAGGGGAAAAGAAAAGGGGAAGAGGAAGATGGTTCGAATGGGGGGGACGGCGGGAAGAAATGCAAGAGAGAAAAAAGATTATCGAAGAAAAATTCAGATAAGAGTGACAAGTCGGACAGGAATCCAGCTCGTCTCTCCGAAGATGGTACCTTTGGCGGAATCAAATTTAAAATAATCAACAGGAAAGAAATTCGAAAAAGTTCGGATTCTGAGAAGGATCTTTTGCTTCCTATGAAAATAGAAAAACCTAACGAATTTTTATCGTCGGACGATGAAAAACCTTTGAATTACTTTGTCAAAAAAGAAAAGAAAGAATTTGTCGATGATAGAGGGTATGACGAGGGGGAAAAATTCGGCGTGGAAATAAAACAGGAGGGAGAAGATGAAACGGACGAAAACGAATTGGAAAATCCTTTAATTATTGAAACAAACGATGAACCTGAAGAAGGTGAGATGACCGCGAATGTTAAGATTCAAAAAAAAAAAAAAAAAAAAAACGTTTCATTAATTTTTGTGTTTTTTTTTTTTTTTTTTTTTTTATTTACAGAAGAGAAACCCGAAGAACCTGCCGTTCCGAAGCATTTGCCTAAAAAACAACAGGAATTATTTTTACGAATTCAGGTTCAAAATCAAAAAATACGAGAGGATAACGATAAGAAAAAAGAAATGGCGGCGGCATCTAGAGAAAGGAAAAATTCGATGGGAAGCGGCGGTAGCGGTAGCGAAGCGGAAGTGGGTAAAACTCCATCACCGGAACCTGCCGATGAAAATTGGTACAGTTCCGACGATGAGGATGTCGTTAAGAAAGAAAGTCCTTTGAAAACCGTATTAAAAACATTAGAAGGCGAAAAGGTAAAATTTAATAATCTTTTTTCGCTCTTGAACGTTGAAATTGCCATAAAAATTTTAAATTTGTCATTGACCTTTGTGACCTTTTCATTTCAGAAACCGGAAGTTTTAGAGAGTGGATCTATGAAAGAAAGTAATCCTCCGATATTGGGTCCGATTCCTCCTTCCGTTCTTCCAAAACCAAAGATCGATATTCCGGCATTGAACGGACCCGATTTATCAAAAATTAATATCACGGAATTATTATCGAGCATTCGTCAGGTGACGAATAAAAAGAGTCAAAGCGGCGGGGGAGGAGGAAACGCAACAACAATAAAACCTTCCATTGTTCCTCCGTCATCGACGTACGAGCCTCCGAAACCGGAAAACACGATCAAAATAAATTATTTCAATTCGGAACCGGAGAAAAAGGAAATCAAAGATCCCAGGTTGAGGGATCCTAGAATACATTCGGAAAATAAGGTGGCGGCCGCGGCCGCGAGGAGGAACAGCGATGAAAAACTCGGTAAAAGTATTTACGATAGTGCTAATTTTAAAGTGGAAACGCAAGATTCGGATTTAAGGTTTCATTCGAAATACGATTCCGACGAACGCGTCATGAATTTAGATTCGATTGTTCCGTTCGGTGACGTCGATTTGAGGACCTTGAATCAAAGTCAGAGTGAGGGACAATCGACGGACGGTGATTTCGACATGAGAAAATTCGGTCTTCCTTTCAAACCCATACCCGTTCATTCCGCGGCCACGGAAATAGACGCGAGTTTAAATTCTCATCCTCCGATCAATTACAAAGTCGAAACGATACTTATTCCCCGCCCGGATTTTAGTTCGATAAAAGTTAATCCAACGGATCCACAGGTGAAAAGAGATCCACGTTTGAGAAGGCTGTTTAGAATTAATTCGTCGGATAGCGAGTCCAAGGAAGAGCAACCCAAAAAATCCGGATTGCCAACGGATCCGAGACAGAGAAAACAAGCAATAGCGGATACGCCGAAATCCCCGACGGAATTACCATTTTCGCCGAAACAAAGCGAACCCCTCCTCGGAAATCAAGCAATACTAAATACAAATTTATTATTATTGGCTCAGTTTGGGTTGTCCGCAGCCGCGGCGGGCACAAACGTTTTCGATCCGAGAATTCAGCAATTGTTGAATAAAACGCCCCACGAATTGGAAATGTTGAGGAATCAATTGTCGAATATAAAAACTCAATCGGATTTCGACATACTTAGAAATCAATTAATGGGTAACGAAAATCAAGAAATGATTCGGCCGCAGGGTCAAGGTCTTTTACCCACTCCCATGGGCGCTTCGGGAATGGGAATTCTCGGACCGGCTCCGGGATTCATGATGCCCGGTCTCACGGGAATGCCCGATCCTTCCGTCATGATGGGACCCATGGGACCCATGCCGCAAAATCCTATGGGATTCGATCCGCGATTTTCGGCGGGCGGTAACGACGACGACCACTTGAACGAGGGAGGAGACATGCGACACTTTAACCGGGGTTTTAGAAACGACAGGAGAGGTCGGGGAAATTGGAGAAATAACAGAGATAGAAATTGGGATAGGGATAACAGGAGGCATAATAAACGGGATGATAGAGATAGAAACAGGCATAATAATCGTGATAGAGATGATAGAAGAGAGAGAAAACGTTCGAATACTCCCGAATAATAATAATAATAATAATAATAATAATAATAATAATGATAATAATAATAAACGTTTATCTAAAAAAAAAATTTAATTTTTAATTTAATTATAATAATTATTGAACATATTGTACATAAAATACATTCAAAATGCATACAAGAGGTATTGCGATTTGTAATAAAAAAGAAAAAAATTGTTTTATTTTTATTGATCTCTCTCTCCTCTTCCAATTATTAAATATCGAATTGTAAATAATTTATGTACATAAAAACATTTTTTTTCTAATGTAATGATAATAATAATAATTTCATCGTTTGATAATATTATTGACCGTTTATTTTAAAATCAAGGACAAGTGCGTACGCGTTAGCGGTAAAAAAAAATTTTTTTTTTTTTTTTTTTAAAGTGGCATTAGAAAAAAAAAATTTTTAAATTGTTAATTTGGCAAAATGTTATTTACCGCGGTTAATTTTTTCCCGAGTGGGTTATTCATTTTATTACGATTATTAATAATAATATTTTTTTGCTTAATGCCTAATTAAAAAATGAACAGGCAAAAAAGTGAGACATTTTTTTTCTTTTTGCAGCGTTTGCATTTTTTTTAAACGTGCCAGTTATTCCAAATTGTGAACGTTTTTTTTTTTTTTTAAATGATTGTTTAAATTGTTGGCGTTTTAACTATGAGCAAGTCTGTGATAATATATTGATTTGAAGTTAAAAAAAAAAAAAAGAAGAAGCAAATTCCGCGTAGTTTGAATTTGTTTTATATAAAATAGTGTTAAATTAATATTTACTTATTGTGAAAAATGTCAATTTATATTATTAGAGTATTATTAATTTGTAAATTTAAAAAAAAAAAAATAATTTTTTGACATGCATTCATGACACTCATGACATTAAGCAGTAAGTTTCTTTTTACTTATCTTCTTTTTCACTATCTATCTTTATTAATCATTGTTAAATTACAAAAAAAAAAAAAAAAAAACGTTAATATGATTATTATTATTATTATTATTATTTATTAAAAATCATATGATTTATTTGAAATTATTTTTGAAAATTATTTTGCTGTTGTTGCTGTCGTTGTTGATTATATTGTTTCGAATGTTAAATGTACTCGATCAATAATAACCTAAGAAAAATGAAAATGAAATTTTATACCAATAGTTGTAATATATATTTATGTGCAAATCAAATTTTATTTATTTAATGTTAATGATACTCTGTGTTACATACACATACTTAATAATCATATAGTTTTCAATTAACTTATGTTAATTCATAACGGTTTTTAAAATTGCTCGAAAGATGCATTAATGTGTTTAACACATTTCGAAAAGTCAAATTTTTTCAAATTGAATGTTTTTAAATTTCTAATTTTGTTCTTATTTAGCATCCACCATTTTTTTATAAATACTTTAAAATGACAGTTTTAATTTGTAGTCAGTTTTAACTACCATTAATAACATGTTGTCGAATTTTTAAATAATATTTTTTTAAAATTTTTTATTTAATTAAAATGAATGTTTATCGATTATCACACATCTCAATAATTAAACATTTTTTTGCCTGTTTCAATGTAAAATTATTTTCAAATAGCACAAGCAGTTTTTTTAAATTTACAAAAGATATCATCAGACACAAATATTTATTGTAATTCATTTCGATTCGACATGAAATTTTGTTTTTAGAGGCATCCATTTTGCTTATTTATTCGATGACAGTTTAAACTCTGTCTTCATTGGTTTTATTTTTAGATTCAAATTTTATCGAATCCAATGACAAATTTTACTGTTTTTATTGTTAACTCAAACACATTCATGTAGTTGAAACAATTTTATTTTAAGTAAATAATTATTTATGAATTTTTATTTATTTTTTTCATTATTTCTTAAATCTAATAAATTATTTATTATTATTATCATCATCATCATCATAGTAATATCTAGTATGAGTAAACATTTGTTTTGTTCGTACGTGTCAAAGTGTTTGAAATCCTTTTTATTTATTTATTTATTTAAAAAATCTATGCTTTTATTTTATTAATTTAGGTTTTTTTTTTTTTTTTTTTTTTTATTCCATTACAAGTAAACAATTTAATATTTATTATTTATATTTTATTTAAAAAAAAAAAATTGATCTGACACTTTAAAATATTTTATTAGGATATTATAAGTTTAAAAATATTTTAGAGAGAGAGAGAGAGAAAATAAAATATTCGATGGGATAGTAACATTTTAATACAAAATAAATAAATAAATAAATTAAAATTTTTTTGTGATGACATATATTGTTTTATAAAATGATGTGATGTCCGTTACCTTGAAGAACTAAGAAACAATTCAAACTAGTAGGAAAAAAAAAAAAAAAAAAAAGATTTTAAAATTAAATTTTTTTTTTTGTGATGTCAATGCCAAAATTGTAAATGTACCATTTACGTGTGTGATTATTTCTCTCTCTCTCTCTCTCTCTCTCTCTTTTTATTAGATGATTTGATTTTTATTACACTTTTGTGAACTTTTAAAATTTATATTCTTTTACACACAAATATATGCAAACACGTTTGAAAAAATTTCTTAATTTTGGCACAGGTGCAAAATAATATAAAAAGAAATAAATGGTTTTTAACCTTGGTCAAAAAACAGATTTGTTTTCCCCCTTTGCCCCCCTTTGCTCCCCCCTAATTGATATCTTCTGTATATATATATTGCCCCCCCCCATTGATTTCTTCTATATATATATTTCAAACTTTTTTTTAATTGTTTAAAAAAATCATTAAACAATTTCTCTCTCTCTCTCTCTTTCTCTCTCTCTCTTTCCCTCTCTCTCTTTCCCTCTCTCTCTTTCCCTTTCTCTCTTTCCCTCTCTCTCTCTCTCTCTCTCCCTCTCTCTCCCTCTCTCTCTCTCCCCCCCTCTCTCTTTCTCTCTCTCTCTGTCTCTCTTTCTCTCTTTTTCTTTCTCTCTCTCTCTCTCTCTCTCTCTCTCTCTCTCTCTGACATCTGAACACTGTGAGAGCGTGAAATTTATTTTATTATCAATGAAAAATTAATTTTCTTTTATATTGTTTATCATCGTCATAATAATAATAATAATAATAATAAAAGAAATAACCATAATCGATAAAGAAAAATTGATTTATCGATTACTTTTTGAATATTTGTTGTGTAAAATCAATTTTATTATTATTATTATTATTATTATTATTATTATTATTTTTCTTTTCTATGTCTGTGACATCAACCTCATGAGAATGATAATAATTATCATTATTTTTTTTAATAACTTTTTGTTGTAGAAAATTAATTTTTTTTTATATGGTTGCCTCAAATGAATTTTATTTTTATTTTTTATTATCATAATTTATTCATCGAAACGAATAATAATAATAATAATAATAAAAATCTATTTATAAAAATTTTGATGAAAAAAACTTGATTGGTTACATACATACATAAATTTATTTATTTATTTTTGTTTTAGGTAATATCGAGACGATGGCCTAATAATGTAAGTTAACATTTTAAAAATTTATTAATAAAAAATTCATAGTTTAGTAATAACGACAATAATTATTTATTTTTTCTATAAATAAAAAAATAAATAAATAAATAAATAAACATGACGACACGCCTCGTTAAACAAGTTTAATCGGTTTTAATCATTAAAAAAATTTTTTTTTAATTAAAGTTATCAGGTTTCGTTTAAATAAGGAGAGAAAATTTTTTTAAATTGAAATTTTAATTTTTAATAATAATAATAATTTTATGTGATAAGAACACCCCCTATTTTGAAAAATAATAATAATAATAAAATTCGAGGGGGGGGGGTAAATTAATTATTTCGTTAATAATTAAATTTTAAATTTAAAACAATTGATAATTCGTACTTGTTTATTTATTTATTTATTTATTTATTATAGATAAACGTTTTTTTTTTGTCGTGTCAATAGAAAAAATGGCGGTATGGTGGTTTATGGTGGTTCGATAAGGTATTTTTCTTTGTTTCGAATTATCATGGGTAATTTATTATTATTATTGTTATTAGTTCTTTTGTTTTCGTCGTCATTGTTTTCCCATTGAATTCTTGTTTTTGTTATTGTTATTGTTGTGCGTTTGTGTGTGCGTGTGCGTTAGTGCGTATGCGATTATCAATTAAATAATTAATTAAATTGACATATCATTCGTTGGTTGTGTCGAGTTCAAGAACAATTTTAAGAAAGTTTAATAATTTTATTATCGATAAAAAAAGTGATTACTCGGTATTTACGTATATTATATTGAATTATCACCTGTGAAATTTGTTAGTAAGGTTAAAGTATGTGAATGAATTATTATTATTATTTTTTTTTTCTATTCGGCCTAGACCTTTTGTTGCTGCTGTTTTCTCTCTCTCTCTCTCTCTCTCATACTCGCGAAAAAAAAAAAAAAATTATTTATTTATTAAGCAAAACGTGTTAACCTTCATTATAATAATAATAATTTTTTTTGTTGTGTGTGATAATGATTACTTCTGGAAATTTACAGTATTTTTTTTTTTTTTATTAATTAATTAAACGTAGTTAAAATGGTAGTTTTCAACGAATTCAAAACAAAAGTGCCAACTTTAGAATTTTAAAAAAAAAAGGGGGGAGGGGAAGAAAAGAAAAACGTTTTTTAAAACTTTGAACTTTGTATCATCATAATAATAATTACAAAAAATTTTATATTATTTTTATCGTTTCGAATTCATCTCGCGAGTACTTAAAAAAAAAAAATATTTATGTACATATATGTATACATAAATTTTTTTTTTTTTTTTAACAAGATGGATGGATGTTGAACGTGAAACGCGAATAAAAAAAAAATTTTGAATGATTTAAATAATTATTATATACGTGTAGATTTTTCTTCTGTTTTTTAAACGAATTTTATTATTCTGTTATTTTCTCTCTCTCTCTCTCTCTCTCTCTCTCTCTCTATCTGTCTATTTTTCTCTCTTTCTCTCCATTCTCGAATTATATACTCAAATCTTGATGTAGATCTGTTTTTTTTTCTTAACGATTTTAATTTAGATATAAAACTTTCAATCATTTTTTTACATTTGATATTTTGATTAAAAAAAAATTAACAGGGATTTTTATTACCGAAAGAAGAAAAAGAAAGCTTTTAATAGATTGAAACATTTTATTTTTTATTTTTTTTTTCGTTTTCTATCTCTCTCTCTCTCTCTCTCTCTCTCTCTCTCTCAATAAAATGACATTGATTAAAATGTACCGGTTGTGTGATTGATTATTTAAGTATTACGTGACAGTTAACACGTATTTGAATAATATTTAAATATATGTATATATCTCGATGGTTTTCGTAAAAGAGAGAGAGAGAGAGAGGGAGA